CTTATTATAACTATTAAATTGTATATATATTTTAAAAGTTACTAACTTTATAGTTTTTATCAGTTTTACATATGAAATATATCAAATTAATCTTCTTTATATGAGTTTCGATTTAACATCCATATTGTATGTATAAAAAAATAATTTGTATTTATTTTTATAACAATAATAAAATTATTTTTAATATTAGTTAGGAAAATAAAATTATTTATCAACTAATATATTTATATTTCAAGTAGCTATATGATATAAGTTACAACAACTAATATAATATAACACATGTAAGTCATAAGCAGTGTTAGCCTAAACGCTAAACGGTAAACAGTCGGCGAGGGCACGTGTAGTGTTTAGACGGTGTACACGGCGTGTACACGGGATTAAACGGATTACACGTTTTTAACTACATTAGTATTAATATTATGACTTATGAGTCAATGACATAGCCATAGCCCATACGCAAATTGCAGATAACATCACAACAGTCAACATCACAGGTGTTCATCTTACAACACAACAGTTAGTAACACACTGCACGCATATATAGTTCTCACAAAACGGATCAATTTTTTGTTCTCCCGCCCAACCGCTTCTATTTCCAAAACGGACCGTGTAAACGGCCTAAACGGCCGTTTAGGCCGTTTAATACCGTTTAATACCGTCCCGTTTACACATTTTACACGGTTTTTTTCCGTCTACACGGCTAGCCCGTTTAATTACCGTTTATCCGCTAAACTGCACACCATAGCGCCGTTTACCGTTTAAACAGCGTGTAAACGGTCTAAACGGCCGTTTAGGCGAACACTGGTCATAAGTAACACATATCATTCTAAAATATATATTAATATATATTTTTTTTGTAAAAAAATAAACTAAATTTAATATAGTTTTCTCATTCATTTTAAAATTTAAGAATAATTTTTAATAAATACCCGTGTAATACACGGGTGTTGTACTAGTTTATATGAAAAGGAAGATGCTTCCTTTATTCCTTATCCCTTATCCCTTGTTTTCATTAAATATATATTTTTCTCTGAGCAGGCTGATTATATGGGGAATCTATCACACAGTTGAATTATTGGTCCTTTATTTTTTTTATTTTTTTATATAAGATAAAATTTTCTTAGCGTGCATCAATCATCCAACCATTTTCTAACATAATTCTAAGAAATAAAATTCACTAATATTTTCTATACGTTACCTTATCATTTACTTACACATTTATGATTATCGTTATTTTATTATTTTTACATCACATTAATTTGTTTATTTATTTAATTAAGTTGCTATATTAAATCAATCTTGATTACTTTAGACGCAAAGGCAGGTTGAATTAGAAAGCCGAAAGATGTGATGGGCCTCATGGCCACTATTAAATGATGAATTGACTAAGAAATTGAAAATCCTCTCAAAGCAGAAATTTCGTTAATCAGAATTAATTTAGAAAAAAATATAGGAGTCTTCTTTAAAAATCCCTACACCCTGAATGAACTTCCAAGTCAGTCCCTCTATATAATTATTTTCTATTTCACTACCTACCCTCTTAATCAAGTTCCATTTAAATCCCTCCCATTAAAATAAATCACAAAGAAATTGAAATGTGACATCATCCCACTATCTACTATTTTTGACATATTATTTTATTATTTTTATTTACCTAAAAGTAACTTCTTCCCCACTCTCCTCTTCTCTTCTCCCGCGTTTTTCTTCTTCATATCGACAACAGCTTTTTTTTTTTCTCTTGCAGCTTCATCTCGCTGGAGAATAGAACCGAACCTTGGGGCTTCTTCCAGAGGCAACAAATCCGGCGAAAAAATTCTTTTTCTCTGTTCAAAAATTCTTCTCTTTCCGGCAAGATTGTGACTTTTTCCGGCAAAAATTTGAAGTAGTAGGTAATGTATGTATTACATGATGATATGGGATATTGTATACTAGACCGGTTCGCCAGGACAACCGGAGAAAATAGGTCGGACCGCTGGATTACCTGAGTTGGGAAAGATCGAGTAACCTGGTCAAGAAAGACCAAGCACCAGCAACAAAGGAGCAGAGAGCAGACAGAAGAGATCAAACGTGGTCGACATATACGGACCACCATGAGTGGTCGGATAAGGCGTGGTCGCAAAAGATTGGTCGAATATCAGAGGTGCACGAGGGAATCTTCAGCACGTGAAAGGAAGGACGCGTGGCGCACTGTGAGTGGCTACGTAGCTGCAACGAACTCTGACATTCTCTGACAAAGAGGACGCGGCTCCTGACACTAAAGATAGTGGAGGCGCGCGGCCGTACGGACGAGCAGAAGACAGTTGGCCGAACTCGCCTGGCTCGCGCGTGCAGCTCAGGTAACTCGCCCTTATAAATAAGGGCGAGAATCCTCATTTTCAGTACGATCTCATACACTCTTATACTTTTTCATACACTCATATTATCTCTCAAGATCTGACTTGAGCGTTGGAGGCTCTTCACCGGAAAACACCTCCGGTGTGGGAGTTTCGTGCAGGTTCCGCGTTCAACCGGCAAGGAAAGCAAGCTTAAGGCGAATTCCAGCTGGTCAGGGTGCGAGACTTGTATTATTGGCGCCGTCTGTGGGACTCTTGTTCGAAAAGTTGTGTTCTGAGCTCAGCTATGGCGGACGGAGTTCCTCGAGTGAATTTGCAGTCTTCATTTGATGAGGCGTGGACGACGACAAGACCGATGGGAGCAGGACCTCCACCTGGATTCTCCGGACCCTCGCAAACACCGGTGACCCCGACGTCGATGCCCCAGGGTACAACGATCTTGGGTGGAGGAGCAGGCACGAGCAGAGAGCACGAAACTCGTGAGGTGGTATCAGCGGCAGTCCTCACTCCGTTGCAAGCGGGTCCAGCCGTAACGCAGCAGGTAGGGCCAACAGCGCAAGCCATGATGCCGCCAACAGGAGGAGCACCCCAACCCCCTGCTCAGCAAGTAGTGGCCATGACGAGAGAAGAAGTGCAGAGGATGGTGGCCGATGCGGCAGCACAGCTGTGCAACAAGCCACTCACCAGACATCCCAGGCTGCTACTGCGCCGACAACGGTGCATGGGACACAAGAGGAGGACGTGTCGAGTTACGGCGGAGGAGGAGAGTACAGAGACAGAGCGATGGAGAGGATGGCCGAACAGCTTAGGCAGTTGCAGGAGAAGGTGGAAGGGAGGCCGGAAAGACGTGCTCGAGGACACCCATTCTCGAGGGAAATCTTAGCTGCGCCGTTACCTGCGAGTTTCCGGGAGACAAACCTGATTTTCGATGGATCGAGCGACCCGTCGAGGCACGTGAGAGCATTCGAAAACATGTCCGTCTTACACGGATACTCAGATCCGGTCAGCTGCAGGGCCTTCCTGTCGACCTTACGGTGAGGCGCGCTCGACTGGTTCCATCAATTAGCTCCAGGTTCGATCAGAAACTTTGAGGATTTCGCAGGACAACTTACTAATCAATACTCAAGTGCGGTCGCCCAGGAGAAGACATACCTTACACTGATGGCAATGAGACAAGGTGAGAAAGAATCCTTACGGAAATATGTTGCTCGATATAATCAGGTGTGTCTGGAGGTGCCCACGGCGGGTGACGAGGTGAAAGCAGGAGGATTGATTAGAAGTCTACGGCCAGGACCATGTCGAACGTCGCTGGCAAAGACGCCTGCTCGAACTTACAATGAGGTGCTCAAAAGATGCAAGAAGTACATTAACTTGGAAGAAACGGAAACAGAGTTTGCCAAGATCGAGGACGTTGTGAAACCTGAGCAGAAGAAGGGAAAGACGAGCTCGCCCAGGAGGGGATCACCTAGGAAAAATTCCCCAAAAGGAGGATCTTTAAGAGGCCGTCGCCCAGGAGGGATGGGCGAAATTCGTTCCGAGAGAGGCAAGAAGATCGCTGGCAAGGGCGACCTCGGCTACCAAACGGTCAAAGATATAATCATTTTACTCCTATCAACGCCCAGATGGGCGAAGTCTTGGCGGCCATAGAGGAGAAGTTGGAAAGCAAGGAAGTCACATGGCCAGCGACCAGGTTCGAGGGACCGACCAAACCTAGGTCGAATAAATACTGCAGATTTCATAGGGATTACGAACATAATACAGAAGATTGTAGGCACTTGAAAGACGAGATCGAGCGTCTCATACGGGCAGGGCACCTAAAAGAATTTATCATTCGCGATCGACCATGGGGTAAAGAAAGGAGAAGGTACAGGGAAGATTCTGTGGCGAGGAGTGATAGGGACGACGATGGAGAAGACGATGCTAGGAGAGAAAGAAAGAGACGACAAAACGATGGTCGAGAGGAGCTGAGGGAGGAGGTGCCTGTGAAGAGGGGCACAATTTACATGATCTCAGGAGGACCAACGGATGGAGATTCAAATAATGCACGAAAGGGGCATGTGCGGGCGGTGAAGCGTAAAAAAGAGGACGTCGGGATAACTGGTCGGATGCCTGTGATTAGCTTTCGAGCAGAAGATGCGGAAGGAATCTTATTACCCCACTGGTCATCACAGCCAAAGTGGCAGGTTTCGATGTGAAAAGAGTGTTCATCGACACGGGGAGCTCAGTCGACGTGATGTTCTACGATTGTTTTGCGCAGATCAACAAACACCTGAATCTGGAATTGAAACCGGTGGCGACAGCTTTATACGGATTTAACGGTGGAGAGGTAATGCCAATGGGTGAAGTGAGCCTGACCGTAGCATTGGGGTCGGGCGATTCGAGGAAAGTGAGAATGATCCGGTTTGTGGTGGTCGGAGCAGAATCGTCTTACAATATCATTTTAGGGCGGACAGGTTTAAATGCGTTCCAAGCGGTCGTGTCTACCTACCACATGACGATCAAATATCCTGTGGGGGAAAATGTAGGCGAGATTGCAGGGGACCAGCTCACGTCGAGGAGTTGCTATCAAACCACAGTCAGTAACAACAGACAGATGGCAGAAAGGCAGTTGAAAGGCAAGGAAGTGAGGCCTGATCGACCAGGAGGATCACGAGCGAAAGAGGAGAGAGGAGACTTCCACTCGGAATTGCATATTCAAAGAAAGCGGACAAGACAAGGGAAAGGAGAAGATAGACATACAGCGTGGAGAAGAGATTGAGGAAATTCAAATGGTGCAGGGATGCGATGACCGAAAATTCAGGATTGGAAAAGATTTGGGAGAGCCAATCAGGTCGAAGCTGATCAATTTAATAAGGGAATTTACGGACATTTTCGCGTATACAACGGATGAACTAACGGGGATCGAGGCCAGGGTGATCGAGCACAGACATAATATTGATCTCAGTGTGAGGCCGATAAAGCAAAAGAGGAGACATCATGGTGCGGAAATGGACAAAATCATTGAGCAGGAGGTCGACAAGCTGATGAACGCTGGGCACATTAAGAAGATTCAGTTCCCTGAGTGGTTATCTAACACGGTAATGGTGTCCAAACCGGGAGGAAAGTGTAGGATGTGCATCGATTTCCGTGATCTAAACAAGGCTTGCCCGAAAGATCTATACCCGCTGCCAAGGATCGACCAGCTGGTAGACTCCACGGCGGGGTGCGAGTTGCTTAGCCTGATGGACGCCTCACAGGGGTATCATCAGATCCCCTTGGCGAAAGAAGACTGGAAGAGAGTGAGCTTCATAACAAGCAAAGGCACCTATTGTTATGTAGTCATGCTGTTTGGATTAAAAAATGTCGGGGCCACTTACCAGCGGTTGGTCGACCAAATTTTCAAAGACCAGTTGGGGAGGAATATGGAGGTGTACGTCGATGACATGCTGGTAAAGAGTAAGGTGGAGGTGGACCACATGGGCGACCTGAGGGAGACTTTCCAAACACTGAGGAGGTTCGGCATGAAGCTCAACCCAGCTAAGTGCTCGTTTGGTGTAAAGGCAGGGAAGTTCTTGGGATACATGGTAACAAAGCGGGGCATAGAGGTGAATCCCGAGAAAGTAAGAGCTGTGATCGAAATGAAGCCACCGGCCAATGTGAAGGAAGTCCAAATACTAACTGGTCGAATAGCAAGGCTAAGCCGATTCATTTCCAAGGTGGCTGAAAAAAGCAGCCCTCTGTTCAAAACCTTGAAGAAGAGCTCGAAGTTTCAGTGGACAGAGGAAGCCCAGAAGGCCTTCGAGGAGCTGCAGGGGACGCTGGCTAACTTGCCCTTACTGGCCAAGCCAATTCACGGAGAGGAACTTGTGCTCTACATATCGGTGGGCGAGAGTGCAGTAAGCTCAGTATTATTGCGGGAAGAGGGAGTGGCGCAATTCCCAATATACTATGTTAGTCGAGTAATGCAAGGAGCAGAGTTGAGATACTCGGAAATTGAGAAGTGCGCATTGGCGGTGGTCGTGACAGTCCGAAAGCTGAGGCCATACTTCCTAAACCACAAGGTCAAGGTGCGCACAAACATGCCATTGGAGCAGACTTTAGGTCGACCAGCAGTATCTGGCCGGCTAGTAAAGTGGGCGGTCGAGCTAAGCGAATACTCTATAATATATGAACCAAGAAGGGCGATCAAAGCGTAGGTTTTGGCCGATTTCATACAGGAAGGAACGAAGGAGGAGGAAGATGACGAAGGAATGTGGCAGTTGTTCGCGGATGGCTCGGTGTCGAGGAGTGGGCCTGGCTTAGGAATAGTCTTGATTTCGCCCAAGGGAGATTACTTAGAATTTGCCGTCAAAATGGGATTTCGAGTATCAAACAACGAGGCGGAGTATGAAGCAGTGACAAAGGGATTAAAATTGGCTCTGGCCGGAGGTGCTCGAAAAATCCAGGTTCATTCCGACTCTCAATTAGTGGTCGGTCAATTCCAAGAAGGTTTCGAGATCAAGGAGGATCGGCTGCAGCGTCATGTGGACAACATGAAGAAGTTAAAGGAAGAATTTGGGACATTCGAGTTAATACAGATACCTCGAGGGGAGAATGGTCGAGCTGATTTGCTGTCTAAAATCGCGCAGAACTTGGTCGATTGTAAGAGTAGAAGCGTGACCCTACTTCATATGGAGAGGAGCGCGACTGAATTCGAGGTGGCAGAGATCGAGGAGGTAGAAGATTGGAGGGCCCCAATCCGGAAGGAGTTGCGGGAAGGGACCATAAAGGTGGTGAGGAGGTTTTTCGAGCAAGGTGGGGTCCTCTATAAACGATCATATGCAGGTCCACATTTAAGATGTGTATCCAAAGAGGAGGGTCGGTACGTTTTACGAGAAGTGCATGAGGGATACTGTGGTGATCATAGCAAAGCCGGGGCCATGATCGCAAAAATCTTAAGAGCAGGCTACTTCTGGCCGACAATGAAAGCGGATGCTAAAGAAATGACCAGGAGATGTATGCAGTGCCAGAAGCACGGCCCGCTCATACACCAACCAGCGGAGACGATGACTACAATGAGCACACCCATTCCGTTTGCGCAGTGGGGCATCGACCTAGTGGGGCCAATGCCGCAGACAACAGGGCAACGAAAATTTTTGATTGTGGCGGTCGACTACTTTACGAAATGGGTGGAAGCTGAGCCGTTGGCCAAAATTACAGAAGAAAAAGTGATCCAGTTCCTGTACAATAACATTTGCTGTCGATTTGGGGTCCCTAAAATCCTGATATATGATAATGGAACTCAATTCAACGGTAAACGGGTAAGAGCATGGTGCGAGGAAATGGGTATCGAGCAACACTTTGCCTCTGTCGCCCACCCCCAGGCCAACGGGCAGGTAGAGGTGACCAACAGGATCATCCTAAACGGACTAAAAACGAGACTGGAGAAAGCTTTAGGGGCATGGGTGGACGAGCTAACATATGTGCTCTGGGCGTATAGGACCACTCCAAGGTCGACTACAGGCGAAACGCCTTTTAGCTTGGTGTATGGGATGGAGGCACTTCTACCAGTTGAGTTAGAGCTACAATCCCAACGATCGAGCACTTATAACCAGGAGCAGAATGAGGAACTCATGCTGATCGCCCTAGACACTATTGAAGAATTCAGAGAGCAAGCCTCGACCAGGGTTGAGGCATACAAACAACGGATGAGGGCAGCACATGACCGAAAAGTGAAGATCTGCCGATTCCAGGTGGGAGACCTGGTGTGGAAGAGAGTAGATGTGCTCAAACATGTGGGAAAGTTAGAACCCAATTGGGAAGGGCTGTACTTGGTCGAAAAGGTTCATGCAGGAGGGGCATACTCCCTGAAGGACGCTGAAGGAAGGTCACTGGCTAGGTCGTGGAATGTAGCCAATCTTAAAAAATACTATGTGTAAAATTTTTCTGAATTCGAGCAGTTGAATCGTTGTAATCCTCTTACGGGATGTTGTCGAAATGGTCGATTTCTATATGGAAATGTCTCTGCCACCGTTATTAACTTGTTGTAAATATGTTCGTTTGACGCATTCAACGACACTACATACTTTCCCCTTAAAGACCAAAGTCCTTCGTTTATGGAACACCCCGACCAAGGGGTGGGCGAAGGTCGCTTGTTTTCGGTACACTCTAAGGGGTGGGCATGTGGTCGACAACGTCCACGCCTCCGGGCTGGACGACCATAATGCTTTCGGAACATCCCTTAGGGTGGGCAAGTGACAAGACCAAAGTCCTTCGTTTATGGAACACCCCGATCAAGGGGTGGGCGAAGGTCACTTGTTTTCGGTACACTCTAAGGGGTGGGCATGTGGTCGACAACGTCCACGCCTCCGGGCTGGACGACCACAATGTTTTCGGAACATCCCCTTAGGGTGGGCAAGTGACAAGACCAAAGTCCTTCGTTTATGGAACACCCCGACCAAGGGGTGGGCGAAGGTCGCTTGTTTTCGGTACACTCTAAGGGGTGGGCATGTGGTCGACAACGTCCACGCCTGCGGGCTGGACGACCACAATGCTTTCGGAACATCCCTTAGGGTGGGCAAGTGACAAGACCAAAGTCCTTCGTTTATGGAACACCCCGATCAAGGGGTGGGCGAAGGTCGCTTGTTTTCGGTACACTCTAAGGGGTGGGCATGTGGTCGACAACGTCAACACCTCCGGGCTGGACGACCACAATGTTTTCGAAACATCCCTTAGGGTGGGCAAGTGACAAGACCAAAGTCCTTCGTTTATGGAACACCCCGACCAATGGGTGGGCGAAGGTCGCTTGTTTTCGGTACACTCTAAGGGGTGGGCATGTGGTCGACAACGTCCACGCCTCCGGGCTGGACGATCACAATGCTTTCGGAACATCCCTTAGGGTGGGCAAGTGACAAGACCAAAGTCCTTCGTTTATGGAACACCCCGAGGGGTGGGCGAAGGTCGCTTGTTTTCGGTACACTCTAAGGGGTGGGCATGTGGTCGACAACGTCCACGCCTCCGGGCTGGACGACCACAATGCTTTCGAAACATCCCTTAGGGTGGGCAAGTGACAAGACCAAAGTCCTTCGTTTATGGAACACCCCGATCAAGGGGTGGGCGAAGGTCGCTTGTTTTCGGTACACTCTAAGGGGTGGCATGTGGTCGACAACGTCCACGCCTCCGGGCTGGACGACCACAATGCTTTTGGAACATGCCTTAGGGTGGGCAAGTGACAAGACCAAAGTCCTTCGTTTATGGAACACCCCGATCAAGGGGTGGGCGAAGGTCGCTTGTTTTCGGTACACTCTAAGGGGTGGGCATGTGGTCGACAACGTCCACGCCTTCGGGCTGGACGACCACAATGTTTTCGTAACATCCCCTAGGGTAGGCAAGTGACGAGACTAAAGTCCTTAATAATGAGCACACTTCAACATATTGGGCGATGATTAATTGGGCGACAATTAATGGCGTTGCGTTACTATGGTTCATACAGATTTAAGAGCAGCAAGTGACGATTATGGCTTATCATATGTGGGGACGACAATTAATTGCGTATAGTCAAGGACATCGAGAAAGCATAGGGAGCACATATCAACATGCCTACAAGAAATCATAATACATAGCAGCTCAAGGAACGGAAAGTAAAAGCATTACACAACACGAATAAGAGGAAATTAAGGTTTTCATTCCATGACAAATACAAGATTACAAATCGAATTGAAATAAGACATGAAGATACATAGCCAAAGCACTAAAAAACTATTTAGGAGGAGCAGCGGTGGATGGAGCGACGCCGGTCGACTGCGCGGCGGTGGTGGAGGACGTAATCGATGACGCAATAGCAGATGATTGTGCGGCGGAAGTCGACTGGGCAGAGGAGGCGGACGACATGGCAACAGCAGTCGAGGGAGTGTTTGCAACTGACGAGGCAAATGCAGCAAACCCCAACTGAGCCGCCGTGGTCGACTCGACGGCCGCAAAGGAGGCGGAAGCAGGGATGGTCGAATGCGAGGCAACAGTTGAGGAAAAGGAGGCGGCTGTAGAATGAGCGATAGCAGAGGCTGACGGATTGGAGGTGGACGACGGCGCATTGGTGGTCAGAGGTTGAGGAGGAATGACGGCCACCGCAAGACGGACCAAGGGTGTCTCACCGGGCCTTGGCAGGTCGAACGAACCCTTCAAGGAAGGATCCCCCGCCAGAGTCCGCTCCAACGACGCGGTCCACCAAGGATGCTCAGCAGACAAATTGGGATCGCCGGCGAAGTTAGAAGGAGCAGAGGGAATCGCCTCCCAGGTTTTATCCTGGTCGAGCTCGCCGGTGAACCCCATCTCCTTCAGTTGGCGCTCGATTTCCTCCATGCTATAAGTGTAGAAGTCCATTCCCATCTCAGCAGCCTCTTTGAGGAAAGTCGTCGAGCAAAGGTAATCCTTGATCAACTGCTCTCGATAGGCCCGGAGGAAATTCTGGCCAACTTGGGTCCTCCACAGGGCCCGACGAGATTGCTCGATCGCAGTGATAGCAACGGCCTCAACCTCCTTCTTACGACTAGCCCTCTCCGCCTCGAGAGCCTGGTCCTTGCCCTTCAGCGCGTCCTTATACCGCTGCTCATCCTTTTTTATCTGCTCCGCTAAGGCGTGGCGGGTCTTGAGCAGGTCCTCGTTCTCAGCCTTCAACCTCCTATTCTCCTCCTCGAGACGCCTATTGTCGCCCTCGAGCACAGGAATTGGGCGACCGATGCTATTCAGTGTTTCCTCGAGGAAAGGCACGATGGAGACCAGAGTCTGTAGCAAGAATAAAATTAAGTACAACACAAGGCAGGATGCTAAAAAATAATGTTAAGAAGGAAATGTACCTGCGTCACTGCACGAACGGCATACTCGGCCTGATTACGACGATTCACCCCCCAGCGATGTGTATCGTCGAACGATAGGAAGCTCATCAGCCGAGACACGGTCTCTCGGGGGCCAGCAGACACAAGCGAAAGAGAAGAATATGAGGGAAGAGGATTCCCCGAAGAAGCAACGTCGAGCTGTGGTCGCTTGGGGGAAGGCAGAGGGTTAGTGGAGTGGGGACCAGTCCCCTCGGTTCGAGGACGTTTCTTGGAGACGTCACCCTCTTTTGTTGAGTGGATGGGATGACGCTCGACTTGCCTAGGAGGAG